CGGGATATACTTTGTCGACGGAGGCGATAATCACATAATCGTACTTCCACATTCGTCGCTACGATTCAGCGCCATAATTTTGGTACCGCCTAAAATCGTAGCGTTGTGCATCTCCCTATTCATCTCTGTACGTTACACACGTTTTCGAGTGCCGCCCGGTATAAACCACGTGTCTAACGGAGCTAACGAATATCACGCCGCGTATTATTACTATTTGGATGTTTAATAAGTTCTTGCTGTATTTTCGAGAAAATGAATGCTTTTTATAAAAAAATTAGTAAGAAACGTGTCACTGAAAGTATTGTCCATCGCTAGCTACTACTTTTTCCCATCTTTCTGGCAGCATATGAATTCTACGTCGGAAAAACGACACGTCTTTTGAGGCTATCCAAGAATCGACCCATTTCTTGGCATCTTCATAAGAATGGAAGTGCTATTCAGCCAGGTCATTGAGCCGATTTTTATGCTCCAAGTTTTATTTCGGCGTCGACGCGCTGCCCGACTAGTGACGTTTATGCATTATTGATATACATATACTATACATTTCTCCAATAATTTTTTTTTGAATATGTGCGTTGTCCCAGCGTGACCTAATTAATTAAAAAAAAACTAATACTCGGCTGCGATGTACATATGTTGCGATGGCTGGAGTATCGATGTATCAAATCAGCTGAAATGTATGGCTTGTCAACCTTGGCAATTATCAAATATAATAAATTTAAAATACAGTATAGTGAAACGTAACAATGTGTTGCACAAAATATAAATGGTGTAATCTTAATAAGATCTATGGAATTCTATGTATCTGGAACATTGATGAGTTATTGGAAATGTCGCAATTCCATAACGGTAAATTCGCTTATAGGCGTTTCCGAGATGGCGCTAACGTTGAAAACTGTGCCGCGTATTCTGGAGAAGCTTCGTGGATACTTCTAATACTTCTTGTGTATTTTTCAACTAAATTTAAGCTATGGTGGACCTGAGTGGCGGTCCTGAAGGTCCTATAGAACACGGCTTTAGCAACGAGGTTTTTATTATTCCGGCTGCCATCGTAATCGGTCTGTCTGGTAAGGCTCAGATTCAAACTCTATCATCGTTGTCTTTCTCTGACATTTATTACTTATATGCTTGTAAACATATGTTTGCTTATGAATGAAATTAATGAATAATTCAGTATATACTTCAGATACTGGATAATTTGATAATGCTGGTTGGTAATATTAACATATACTTTAGAATAAATTACAATTAAATGTATTCAATGTAACAAATGTTTATTGTGATATTCTCTTTAGAATATGTAACACACAATAATCCTGGACATTTAATTAGATGTTTATCAGCATATATTATTTTTCTTTTCATTTTTTATACTCGTGCCATTATTATTGATTTCTAATAACAGATATAACATATATATTCAATATTTTATGCGGAATGAAATAATAACTCATCAAATGAATGGGATAATATTTGCTTTGTTTCGCAATACCACTGAACTAATAAGTAATTGTATCGTATGTTGGTCTGATTGCAACAGAACAATTCTTATCTATAATCTTGAAAGAATACTATTCTCTATTGTTTAATATATTATTGATTACTGATTCATTTGTCGGTCATGTAAAAGTTCAGATTCCTTGATAGATTCTAGTTGGAAAGTGAGAATATGTTATTATTGAAAATAAAGGGAAAGTTTCTCAGGATATATCCAGAATTTTTTTATATTATATAAAGTATGCGTTCTGATGAAGATGATGGACTTAGCATACTACAAGATCCATATTTTTGGCAATGATAAGGGACATTAATCAAATTAACATGGGTCAAAACCTTACTATCTATATCTCAGCTTTCTGATGCACTTGACGTCATATCAACAGTCAGCAATATGGCAGAGGTGATTTTTCTAAAGCGTATTCTGAATACTGTTAAAGAAGACAAAAAGATATAGCCAATTCCTGAAGCTTTTATTACTGCACACAATGTAATAATTTATGTATTGGGCACGTTAGCATTGATAATTGGTAAATACTCTTACTGGCTAATTAAATTTAACCTACTCTTTTTTCTTGCTAAGAAATGTTTTCAGAAATTGATGTGCAAGCAACATTTTTATAATTATTGCATGATGAACAATTTGCTGAGGCAGTATATTTGCCATATGGAATGATTCTGACTCAGTCATATGTGTGATATAAACTTCTTCATTTGTAATCAGACTTCCAATCTCACTCATTTCAAGTATTATCTAATCATTTATACGTTTTATTCAGTCTTCGCGGATATTTTTACTGTTCCATACTAGTTTACTTGCTTGCTTGAAACGTTGTGGTTTATTGAATTTTTTTTAAGGAACGAAGCACATTTCTTTGATTATTTGGTGGTTTTAAGTTAGTAAGACATTGTAGCAGTGAAAGTGAAATTTCACTTGTGACAGTCATACATACTCCAACATGGATGATAACATTTTGGAAAAACTCCAAAAGAATAATGTATTGCCTGAGGATCTTCAAAAGAAGCTCTCTGACATGGTTCAGAAATATCGCAACATGGATGAGGATGAAAAGATCAAATTCCACGAAGAAGCTAAGCATATGTTCAAAAATAATTTAAATACAGTTGTGGAAAATAGTGGCAGCAGCTATTACAACATCTTTTCTCTAGCACAGTTCTATGTTGTCCTAGTAGCTGTCTTACTGATCATCCTTGTCTTTGGTAACATCTGCAATTATTTTTACCCTTAATAAGTGAATTAATTATCCGGATCGTTTGCCTCTATATTAGTTCATATTTGAATATAGTCTTTTAGTCTATTTCAAACTAATGCATTCCCTTTTTTTTCTATAATTTCAGTATTCTTTGGCTTCAAGTTGTACAAAAGTCTGAAAGATCGCGAGAAGAAACGCGAAGAGAAGAAGAGAAATAAGCAACTGAGAAAAAAGAAGTAACGTTTGGATGGGAAATACAGAAAGGGCATTCATAAACGTCAAGAATTTGGATTATTGGAAAACGAAGAAATTTCAATCAGAAATTTGAAAGAACTACGGTCTGTACAGCGGAGGCAACGTTAAAATTGTCCCGCCAGATACTTCACACAATGCATATACAATAATTCAGAATCAACAATGACTGCTTATTTTGTGAAGTGAACATATATATATATCCCATTTATGAGCAAACTGTGTTCGTTCATTTCGATGAATTTTCAATCCTGACTTTAATGTAAGGTGCAGAGATGAGTAGGGAGACACATGACGCTACGGTTTTAGGCACAGAACTTATATTCTGGAAGGGGAATGGAGCTGTTGAAAGTGGCCCTAAAATGTTGAAACAGAGATACATATATATCTCTTTCCCACTTCGTAACATCCAGTTTCCCTAATTGTGTAAGTGCGCAATTTTACTAATCTAACAAAACTTAACCAATCTAATGCGAAACGCAAGTTACATGAAGACTGAAGGAATTCGATTTGAGGCAGTGGTTTTTATGATTCATAGAAATGTGATTAAAAAAAAAGAACATAAACCAATAAAGTTTCCAGAGTATAAGTTCTAATCCTAAAACCGTAGCGTTGTGCATCTCCCTACTCATCTCTGTAGGGTGGATGGACTTCGATAACCACACATAATGGTGTCTGAAATTTTTATTAGTCCACGTGCATTTGCAAGTGAAATTATCATTCCCAAATACAAAATGCTCGTTACACCATACTGCGCGTCTTCAATATACTTAATACAATAAAATTTAGGTGATTGAAAATAGAGAAAAATAATTCTTCTATTTCATATAACTCTTTCTTAGTCTATAATCATAATCGAACTAGACGCGATTACATGGCGTTGTACAGTCGTGACGTTAAACTATCCTAGAATTAAAACTTATAACAACCGCCAGGATTGTTTCACAAGGATCCCATAAAATACTTTACGTTCTCAAGAGAACAAAAACGATATAAGATCATTTTAATCTTGAGCTGACTGTGCAATCGCTTTGATCCAATAGACATGCTTCTTGGCAAATACTATTAATCAAGACATGACATGTTCATATACACGTTATTCCACGTACAATAAAGACCTGCGATTATACTTTATATGATTACCTTCTTATTATCAAATTGTAGACTATCTCTCAAAAAAATAAATATTTTGAAAGAATCCTGGTTTGTACCGCATCAGACAAGGCTATTTTTGTATTTCCAGTTTCCTCTAAAGAAGTTACTACATTAAGTTTTCAATTACATATAATTACTTTTAATACCTTACAACAGAAAGCTGACGTAAATGCTCACTTCTAAGGCACCTTGTGAATATATATATGTTTTTTTCGTTTATCTCCTTAAATTTCCCTAAAGTTCCCTGATGAGTGGGTCAAAGTGGACACTTACGTTACAGACTAATATGAGACAATAATTAATAGCTACGCCCATACATAGCGGAGTAGCGTTTGGCGTATTTTGAGACCTTATTGCACTAAGTATTAGTGTAGCAACTAATGTTTGATTATACTTTGGTCATAAGGAAGATTTAATTCGACCCTATTCCCTAATACACTTTTCATTTATTCGCTAACTAAAATAAAGAGTAAATAACAGTAAACATAAATGCGTGAAACACAAAAGCACGCAGATAAATCGACGAAATAATTAGCAAATTTTACCGCGTAAGACAACTTACCAGGAACATATATAATAAAGTTTGTGAAATTTCATAGAAATATACGAATAGATTCTTTTATCCTAACCAAAATAAATCAAGTTCTATTGACACTACATTCCATTTTGTTCATGGGCGATGGCCTTGTGAATTTACGTATCGTCAAATCCTTACGTATGAATAACGTAGTTTTTGGTATGCTTCTAAATTACTTCAAGAGTTAATAATTGCACGTATTTACCATATCTTATTTACTGCTTTAACATGAAAAACGAAATCGTACACTTAATCAAAATTCAACGTTTTTCGCGAATGATTTAACAAGATTTCATTTTATGTTTCTTTCCTAATTGAACATACGGTTCATTGGCACGAAATTTACAAAGCTAGGCAGCGTACTTTCAAAGTCCACAGTAAAAAATTGAATACATGCAGAATCAGCAAATACCATTCTAACAAGAAACAGTAAAGTTCGCAATAACCGTCACCGAATAAAATTCCCATTAATCGAAACGACATAGTAATTAAATAATATTCAAATGATGACATTTACTACGAAACCCCCTTAGCTAGCTTTGAATCAATTTCTTTTTACCGATTTAGATAAGAAATGAAAACCATATGTTACATTTCCAAGTGATAGAGTCTGTGAAGGTAGGTGGTAGGTGAACATATATTCAATAAGATATCCCTTATATCGTCAGATGTGTTACGGATCTTAAGATGGCAATTTGTATTTTGCTCCAGGCAATTCCAGTTGAATGAATTTCAAAAGTACCTTCTTCGTCAATGCTTTGGAATCGACGATTCGTAATTGCAATTCCAGACGAAAATTTCACTATTGAAATACACGAAGTTACTTTCTCGTAGCAAACCTAAGCTGCCTTTTCATTATGAGTAGTTATTCATTTGTCTGCATCGAGTATTATACGTCTCGTGTGAATTCCCACAACACAAGACACTGTTAAATAGTCACACTGCCTTAATCCCAATGAAGTTTAAGTGAATCAGCGTGAAGAAGGCTTCAGCAGTAGTTTGTAGCGATCGCTGGCCGTATCTAAAAAGTAAGAAAAGTGCATAGCATCATGCAAAAACGTTACTTCTACCCAATCAGCAGGCTACCCAATAAATTACTGGAATATTTAAATCCATTTACATTCCAGCATTGTTCTTACCTTTTATCATTTCAACGTAGTACATGCTCTCGTCCTTCATATTCGCCACTAGTTCATTGGTCACTAGAATGTGTATACCCTGTGGTCCCATTAACAAAATCGAATAAAGATTTTCACGAGACAAATTTAACGCGGATAAAAGCTTAGCGGTAAGAGCAGTGCTCGTTAAGCTCTCCAGATACACGGCTCTCCAAATAGAGCTTTTACCCTCGATCGAGAAGTACAAAGTGAGTTTTGGCGTTGGGGCTTTCGAATGTAAAGCATTGAAAAGTCGAATGCCGTCAGCCACACCACAAATTTGTATCAAGTCGTCGCGCGACAAACGAAGAATGTCGGAGGCTGAGAAACTCGAAAATGTTGACTCGAAAGTGTGAAAACGAGCAGCACGTAGCCAGGCGGTTGTTTGAGCAGCATTTGCATCCGATGGTAATTCAGAAAACGTTCCACTGACCTATAACGATAAACGATATCAATTTTAGTATAACTGTCGATTAAGTTTGTATGGTAAATTAAAAATAAATTCCCTCTGTGAACAATCGATCCGTAACATATTTCTCGAAATTCTCTAAGGCGTTTCAAGAGAAACTGCGACGTAAATTAGAGATACGATAACGATAAGGTCTATGATAATTAAGCTATATACGACTGTGTTCAAGAAGTATGCTTATAATATCAATCTAATCACCAATAACCTTGTCTAAAAAAAACTACATGTAAAATGCTTGGATAGATTTTGACGTTACGTGACCCATTGTCAGCTAAACAAAAGGAAACATTCCATGACTTACATTATCATCGGTACAAGGGTGGTCGGGCAGGATTGCAGCAGGCGACGGAAGTCCTGGTGCTGTGTTTGGATCCTCTTTGACGGATTCTGATACCTGGGACAGTGGTACCACACTGGCATTGGATACGGACAGGGCGACAGGTACAGCAACGGGCGAAGAACTACCACCGATCGCAGCTCTGCTCTGTGGAGAACTAAAAAGAAGAAATAATGATAAATAGATGAAAGAGAAGAAAATTTGACTATAATTAAAACCACGGGATCTTCGATTTGTTCTAGCAACGCTAACTCGTACATTTGCTTGAGTAGTGAATGCGCGAAGACGTATCAAGCCAAGATCTTCAATTAGAGACAGTTTCGTATTCTTCGTGCAATGCTATACTCTCGCTTTTATAAATGGGACGTAAAAGGGGGGCTGACTTAACAAGAGCAACGAAGTAACTCGAAGCCATCCATCCATCTGGACAGCTTTCATCCGGCACTCTCGAGTCGAATGAGGAGCAACGAGAAAAAGTGTCAAAGGATACAAGTGGTGATAAAGATACCAAGAGCAGAATGATCTTGGTATGCATGAAGAGTGCAAGATGGTAATTAGAATTTTTGAAGAGGCAACACAGTACGATGGATTACAAGTGATTTAATCAATTGGCAATTGAATAGCGTCAGCCGTAAACGGGTTCGCAGAAAGAATTAGGATTAAATTTCATGATGATCTTGCTCGGAGCTTACATGGCAAATGCTCGCAATCGGAAGGTACACTTTGGGGAACTTCCGTTGGGTTGACCACCGATCCTCTTGATTGGTACACGCGATCTTCGAAGTGTTAAGCCCACGAGGCCACCGCGCCAAAATTGTCTTCCGGTTCCGCGACGAGCATCCGGAAGTGCGTGTACGAATCTGGCGACTACCTCGATACCCGATGAATCGCCTCTTATCGTTACTTCGTGCTCCAGCAGATAGGCCGATGATCCTCGAGCTCTCGACGATCTCAATCGTAATTCGCTTCGCAATTCCGAGTGTAGAAATTTCGGCATTTTTAATTAATCAGTGTCAAATGAGTCGTTCGATTATTCGTAAATTTTATCAAGGTTCTTCCAACCACCGTGGTGCTTCCATCATTTGATCTTTGTATATATTTTTTAAGATAACTCAATATTCGTTAAATTCATCTCATCTGACCTTTTAGCTGACATGGGTAAGAAGAGAGCTTCTGGTTGCATGACATGTAGAAAATTTTATCTTGTGGATTGGTGTGATCTCGCAAGGGATCTGAAGTAATTGGTACAAATTGGAGTTGCAATTCGGCTTTATGAAACGAGGGCCTCTTTCTTCCTGTCTACTTTTCTTTCAATACCCTTGTGGCTTCTTTTTCTTCAATCAAGAAGAACCGTCGGTTTAGCGTCCTCCAGAGATATCTTCAGTTGGTCGGTAAGAATAATCTTTATTATTTTACTGTAAATAAAGCCCGTCTGCGTGCCAAATTCTTCCACGAGCTCCTGGCGCCTCTCCACGGCACGTGCAAATATCTCGTAGTCAGATAATAATATTTAAACTGCAATCCTGTTAGTGCTTATTGCAACACCAGATCGCTGGTAAAGAAGAGTCAGTTCAGAGCGGAACAGGTCGGCTCTCTGTAGTCTTCCGTCTGTGCATAAGTCAACAGATATGCGTCCACCGTGAACCAGATATTTCTAGCCCTGTTGTCAAGTCGATCTGGCTCATGATTTAGCGAAGAACTTCCAGGAGAGCACGGAACTACCTTGGTATGGTATGCACTGATCGAGGATTCTGTGAAAAGTAATTACAATTGTACAAGCTTTGATGAGCGTTAAGCCTCAATTGACCTTACGTCAAAATCCCCAGGAGTCAGTCGAGGGAGTAATATCGAAGATCGATTTTCAATGCATCTCTCTTGCGAGCTTTGAATATCCGTGATAAGCCGACCATGTTTCTTCTTCGTAATCTGATTCAAGATTAAGGGCTTCTTCGTCTCGTGGCTGACATTTATTATTTTAGCTCTCCGAGTGACAGGGCTACCTCAACTGACGATTTGTATTAGATAAGAGCAGTCGGTAAGTAACGATCTTCGACGACCTCGACCTCGTCGCCGTGTTCAAGATTCGTACGAAGGGGAATTTAACCGCCCTGGCATCAGCTTTTCGGCGGCAAGGCTGCTCGTCATCTGAGGAGGTGGTCCTGACGTGACAGAAGGATGCTGGCCAGGGTTTTGCTCTCGAGGAAGACGCTCACAGGGCAGATAACAACAGGCTGATCGACAGGGAATTGATTGTGGTACAGCAGCGGACCCGGGTGCCTCGGTATACTGAAGGAGGGCATTCCAAAGGCCTTGATATCCAGGATCGTGACACGACTAATCTGATAGCGATGCTCGCTCAATTTCTCTTTGCGAATGATTGATCTTCCTCTAGGTTCCCTCTACTGCACGGGTACACGGATGTATACGGAGCGTAGGAAGTGACGCATACAGACCTATTCGATCTTCAGATATAAATCGAAAACTCAATCTTACTTTCGTTCTCGAAAACACTTGAGAGACATTAGAATAGTTCTTTCGGGACAATAGTAATCGTTACTGGAATAGAAGCTGTTTTATTTGAAATATCCCAGTATCGGGAGTTACGTGACTTACGCGTCGTTTGAAAGTACCTTGCCTTGTCAACGGTAAATCCTTAAGCTCCGTCGGTAATGTCAAACTGTTCTGTTTCAAAAAGAAAATGTATACGCGACAATCGTACAGAAAATAAATTACACGTACGCCACTGAGAAACACGGTAGTCGATCTCATGCACGTAATGCGCAAGCAAGTGGCCGACTCGTAAAAATTTCACACGAGACGGCGTCACACGAAACTGACAAGTTTGGCCACTAAAGGTCTATCTCTCTTTCTCTTCTTTTTCGCAGTGAAGCAGTAGAACTGCAATGATCATTAAACACGAAGACGGGAGTGCACTGGACGCTCCGTTTCGCGAGATCTTATTTATAAACAGATTCCTCCTAGCGGTAGATCATGTCTGCGACTTCTGACAAGCTTGATTTAGCCTAGAGATGTATTTCTCTTCCTCTTGCCCTCCACTGTTATTATCAAATGCGACTTCCTTGCAAACGACTCTTCGCGCACTCAGTGAACCAAGCGATGATCACAAAAATACAACTGCCATTCAACGACGCTGTACCTCCCGGCGGCTTGGCGAATGAATCTGCGTGCGGCAATTGTAATTGTAATTGTACGGAACACAATTGAAAATAAAGAAAGAAAAACTAAAAGGGTTAAACCGTTGTAATAAAACCGACAGGAAGAACCGTGATCGTACGAAGTGTCTAACGCGTCGGATGGTCTGAATTGTGTTTGAGGCAAAGTCGGCCCACTGTGATGTGTCGACTCCCCTCTGCTGGCTCACGCCAGTTCAAGCCAGTTTAGTCCCCCACGATGTATACTTTCCTCCTCTACCACCAATCCACTGCCACTTCTATGTAGAAAGACTGGCGCAGCCACCTCAGCCTTCTATACGTCTGACTCCAGCACCGATTCTCTACCTACTGTGAAACCACTAGCCACCACAAAGTTGTTACTGTTGTGTCTGACGTTACTGTATAATCTGCTTTATATAACCTTAAAAGGAACCCTTGGACAAATTTGACAAGAATATTTAAGCATCGTGTAAAAATCCACATGTACCTTTCCAGGTTATTCAAGATATCCAAGAATGGCGAACAAATCGTGAATGCATAATTCACCTTCGGCATCATGGTTTTATTTATGTATGATAATATGATTAATGGTGTACGCGGTAGTTTAACGTTGGGACTATACACATTCTCAATGCTGTTTTTCATTGATCAGGGACTTATTTGTCTTGACGTGATTTAAAAACAGATCCCGTCTTATTGACATTGTTTTAATCTACATATATTTTTGTAGACCCTCTATTGGCTCGTGGCACTGATGGCGTTGCTAGAAGCAAAAATTGATAAAAAATCGTATTCTGCTCTTTACTTTCTCATATCGCGGATACGGTATAAATACGTATCACGTATGAACGTATCTCATCTTGCATTTGATTGCAGTGTCTCGTGAGTGGATACCGTATTTTAAAATTCGTCAAATTTACACAGTATGCCAGAAGTCTGAATGGTAAGTGGGTTGATCTTCACTGCTGTAATTTTTTGATGCGACTTGTGAAAATTTGAAATTTAAATGGAGGTTCCGGTTCGAGCTGGTTTAATTATTCCTTATGTGAAGTACGGGTCAAGTCCTTGACAATAATATTATCCAGTCTAACCTGACAACCACAGAGGTTATTAAATGAAAATACTGGTAACAATTTCACGTCAGGTACTAATTACTGAAACTGTACTAATTTTATCGAATTAGATACAGCCCAAATTAATAAAACCATCATTTCTCGATAACATAACAGCTGTTCTTGAACATGTAATTTTTCTAGTCTGAAATGCCTGTTTTTCCATTACTTTACTAGCAACCTTGGGGTATCATTATTACTCCCCAACGTATTGTGAAAATCGGCAAAGATATAAAATCAGAATAGACCAAAGAAAAACATCCGTGCACAATAACAACCTCGTTATAGACCTTTTCTATAGCTTTATTCACGTAGCTGGTAAGTTCACAGTAACCTGGACTGATACCCAGCAAGCTATGCATAGGATGGTTATTAGAATATAATCAATGTCATAAAATCAATCTGATATCAAGAATATAAGAATCCAGCAAACCTTCTAATATCTATAATATGAATATCCACGGCACACAGTCGATCGTCCATTTAAATAGAAAAAAACCAAGAGTCTGCTTTTATGTGTCTAGGATCATGATATAATATCGAGCCTATACCCAGCTTGGCATAACTCGTAATATCCAGAAGTTTCTAGGTGGATGTTTACGGCGTGTAGAATTCGAAGGTAAATCGTATTACGTCATCCCAGCCGTTGTTGCTGGCTCTGGCTAAAGTTATACGACAAAAGCCTAACCAGTACCAAGCGACAAGAATTCCTTCTTCGTTTAATAGGTATCATTTTCGTTTTCTTTGGAGATCATGCTACTGGAATATAAATAGTATTCAACCCATCCAGCCTATACAGTAACGATCCAGTGTTGTAACAGGCTTTAAGAAATACATGTTTGTAGTCACGCAACCTGTTATATATACATATATAGTATGTATACATACGTGTCCCAGTAAGCACAAAATAACGATTGCATATTAGCAACATTACGATCATTAAATTTCCATCCTTCGAGGGTCAATATAGCTTGTTGACTGGGATTTCGCCTACGTGAGTCACTTAATTAAATATACATATCTTGAAGTGCCGTACTCGCACGTCTTAAACGTGCACGCAGAGAATATGCATTGTGTATCCTTGCGAACAAGCTGATGTGTGACTCCGGTCTGGTATAACGATGCAACAAAACCATGGGCTTAATGACAGCTTCATTGGTCGGACACGTTTCTATTTTCGGCAGCAACCTTTGTACATTGACAATTGGGTGGTTCCGGTGTATTTACGTAGCTCCCAACGCTTTTATAAGTCTTGATTACGTGTACCGGCATTGCAATGGTATTAGCGCAATTTTCAAAACGTCTCTAATGGGACGATAGGAACACTAATATTTGCCATTACGTAGAAAAATTTGGGTAGGAGGGACCTCAGACGTATTAGAGTTAATTTTACAAGACAGGTGATACAAGACCTTGTTCACTGTTTTCGTCCAGTGCTGAATGTTTGCGTATTTAAATTTATGAAGCTCGAGCCGTGACTTCAGTTTGGGAAAATTTTTGGATAGTCCCACGTGTCTTGTATAATTATCGATATGACGATTACAATAGCAACGGTGTTCAAGCTTGACTTACATTGCTTCTGTCGGGGCGTAAGGGCTTCCTCCGTTTTGGGATAAGGGACTCGACGGCGAGAGCGAATCCAATGGAATCTGGAAGATGTAATTATCGTTTAAGATTCGTGCTTGTATTTAATAATGATTTTAATTATATACATTATATACGATTACTTACGTCGGAGAGGACCGTGCAATCGTAGCTCGGTTGATACTTGTCTTGTTCGTGAGGAGGTCGACGAAGAATTTTATCGCGATCCTGCTTGTGTTTGCGATCAGCTCCTTTAAGCTTGAAAACTTTGACCTGACAGGATGCCGCGTGAAGGCGCGGTCCGCCAGGAAGTCTAGTTTCAACCTGAATACGGAAAGGCACGCCTTTTTCACCGCCGTGCTTCTTCGGCGTGAATTCCGTGCTTATACAGTTGACCTGCAACAACGAGAGAGATGAAGTTTACAGTCTTTTTTTGTTATTTTCGTGATTTATGCTGTTTTACATTTCTGTACCCACCTTGATATACACGCCAACTTCCTTCGTAGGATCCCACATGAATTCCACGCAATTATTCGATGGAAAAGGCTCGCGCACGTCAACCATCCCATAACTGAGAGGTACGTCGACTTCCAGAAGACGTTCTCCAGGTCTTGTACGCTGCCAGGCCAGCATCTGTTCCCTCTCTGTATACTGTAGACGTCGCTCGTGGAAGCAGATGCGGATTGTCGACTGAAACAGAAATGTCGGATGTCCCTACAGAAACGTTATAGTCCCGTTCGGGCATCTCACAACTTCTGAGGGCACGTTCCGATATAGATGGTTAGTAATGATAAGATTGTTGGCCTTTTATTAGTCACATATACCCAATAAAGATACAACATTATTATCATTGCTGAAAGTGAATATCGAAACATCGTCTCGAAACGTACAACCAAGAGCTCACGTGGGAAGATCATTGTAGGAGCTTCTTTTTTATATATTACTGATCTAGCGCCAACCACAATTATCCTACAAGGATCATCAGGAAGACAAGTCGATTGTACCATGGCAACGTCATCCGATAGTTAACATACTTCAAACTTCTTGTTATTCCCGTGGCGCTAGTGTTCCTGTTTCCGTATGGGTGCTGATTGTAGGACATTAAAAAAAAGCGCCTAATTCCACCATTAAAATAAAAGCACAACCAGCTTCCTATAACATTAAAAAAAGAGACCCTTCACCTTTCCACGTGAGTCGCTGGCAGACCACATGACAGACCACCGAAGCGTTTATGTAAGATGCCGTGACCCAGCACAAGAGTTATAAACAAATGAAAGAGAAAGCACAGTGTCTCAGGTACCTTGAGGATCTTGCCTCTGTAGGCAGACAGGTCTCCAAGTTTCTTCAGCTTGATCTCGTAGGATTGACCTTGGTTCAAATAAGTCAGGGTCTCCTCGTTGACCTTAGTGGCGATACTGGTGGCTGCTGCCAAGACGTACTGAAAACTAATTAAGAGATACCTTATTAACAAGTGCTTCCTCAAAGGTCGTACAGTTATAGGTCCAACAAGGGAAGTACAAGGATACTCTTGGAACCTTTTATAAACTGGATTACAATTGAAAATTGAATTGAAAACACTGTCTCTACTTGTGATTTTCTTCTAATATAGAATTTTCATAAACAGCCTCATATTAAAAATAATTATCCAATCACCGGCAGTCTTCATTGAATTCGTTTCCCTGCTGCGAGGACGAGACCTGATTCCCCGTAGATGATGTCGGCGGATACTCTTCCGTGGACGAGTAGAGCAGCTGATGAAGACTGGCAGCGCTCTGGCCATTGTTGTTACTGTCAGCTTCGTTATTAGCGACATTCCCATTATGGCCAGCAGGTTGATTGATGCTTCTCTGAGTGATGTGATTCAGGCTGCGGAATGTAAGAAAGAAAAATCAGTAAAAGAATTCTTATAAAAAATAGTAACAAGCAACGGTAACACTGTTATCAGTATTCTTTTTATTTATCATTAACCCGGCACTCACAATAAATTTAAAAAAGCCGACGACGATCCTTGAACTTCTACTGGACTCCGCATGGCGCCAACTTCGCGTCTTTACTATTCCTTTCAGGTATCCTCACACGGCCGAATTCCACTGTTCCACGTATCGCATACGGTAATGTACATATACGCACTCACGCTTATCGTGACAAAGTGTTGCGCCTCGCGATACCGTTCACCAAAATGGCTAACTCTGAGAGGAGACCAAAGTCTTAACTTCAAGAGGGGAGCAAATGTTCTAACTTGAAGAGGGGGTCGCGAAGTTTTTCAACGCTGATCGAATAAATGGCGGAATAAGCATCTGAAGCGTATGCTATTTCATACTGATCTGTTAATCGCGAGTCAAACTACAGGTCGTTTCGCCACGATAACTCCAACGAGTCTCAATAGACTCGAAGTCTGTCCCATGCAGATAACTTTACAAGTTTATCGCGCGTCTTTGCAGGGGAGCAATTAATGCTACAATTTAACTATCTTCGAACGCAGCATCTTCGCGATATGGAAACTTGAATTTTTTTTTTGGACAACTATGCATACATATTACTTGACATCGTTAAAGTCCGAAGTTGCAGATAATCACGTTATTCATATGTCTCGGATTGAATTATTATTGTGTCTTCTGAGGGGCGGAGTGGGGGAAGATTCTACTATTATGAAATTTACCGCTTCCGGGGTGGGGGCTCAATTTACACGACTGTTGATATTTGTCCATAATCACAAAATCCACGAGAACGCTTATCAGCGTGTTTATTAATTTTTCTAAGCACAGGGTGCATCATTGCTTCTATAATGTTTTGAAAATTTCAATTTTTCCATTTGTCGTCGGTCAGGGTACGTGCCGATGTAGTTCGTTCTGTTGGTGTCAACCGATTGAAAAAAAAAATGACTGTGGAAAATAACGATGGCGTCGCTCAAAGATCCGGTAAGGTTATCGATTAAAGAAAACGACGCTTCTCTTTCTTTTTTTTATTTATTTTTCACACGCTATTTATGCCTGCTCCGACATACTTTCTTGAAATACACTTTTGCGTGCTATTGGATTTATTTCTTTTGTATATGCAAGCTAATATTTTACAGAGTCAGATGGTCAGGGTTGCCGCATGATATTTTGATAACTAACAATGAAACGTCACTTTCGAGGACTTTTAGTTTCTTTATAGAAGGTAATGGATTTGTAATCAAAATAAATTGACATAATTTCTACCTATTACGTCTTTGCGATTAATCTACTGTATACAATCAAGTACAATTAGAAAATCAAAGAGATTAATCGCGCTAAAAATCTAGTCCAATCCGGACAATTGATCGTTGATAAAGAAAAAGAAAGACTGATAACAGCGTATATGCCTCCCTGTGTTAATCAATGAAAAGCTTACCTTGGATTATTATGGTGATTCTCAGGAGACGGAGCTTCCTGTTTGAATACAGTCAGAGAAGGAAGCGCGAGCAAAGCTTCGCTGTAAAAGAAAGAAAAAAAAAATTATTATAAATTAATGAAAAAAAAATTGAATTTTTCCCCAGAAAAATTATTCCTCCTTGTCTGAACAAAGATTATCAGCAGTGTGACGAGAAAGGAAAAATTATAATCAATCAGTCATATTTCAGTCATAGTCAACTAACCAAGCAAATTCAACTGGATCGAAGCAGTTCGTTTATCTAATCTGTACGGTATTCACCTGGGCTTGACGTAAAGCATTGCTCGAGATACAATAGGATACTGGATAGTACAAGTGAAAAAATGTCAACCACGTGAGGCTTAAAAAAATTCAAGCTATCTTGTCAGTCTTCACAATTATACGTATAAATCATGTCGAAACTTAATGGAAACAATTGTAACTTATTTCAAATAAAATATGTTGCAGAATCACGTGCTACTCGAGCACGCATATCTGACAGACGATCGAGACTACTCGCTACTGGTTACTACTGGCGAAAACACTCGTCAGGACTATAGGCACCGCTGTCAACGTTTCAAATGACATCAGTGTCACTGGACCAAGTACATTTAATCTGCAAGGGTCGACCCACGTACGTACCTAACCAAGTAGCCAGTCATTACGTTACGCTAGTGTGATTGTACGTGCGCAGTACGTACATTGTGTTTAAATCTTCTAAAGAGAGCTTGTGCACAGTTCTATCGGAACCGGTGTGAACTGGACGTAAAACTAACTGATACCACCTACGTCTAACGTATTTTTCTGTCTGATACGCGTTCAACGGTTCTCAAATAAAATAGAAAAAAAAAAGGTTTGATTGAAGAATCAAAGAAATTTTTTAAATAATTGAACTCGAAATTAAAAAAATTAAATTAAAATTAAAATGAAAAAAATATATATATTTTCACTACGATTATATTTATCGTTGATCGGTATCCGTGTACGCCATCTTGTTTTACTAAGCTTGCGTTCGATCATGCTCGTCGTGTATGGCAATGCGATTACGTGACGTGGGTTTTTGAAAATAATGGTTCTCAATACAAACTACTGTCATAATCGGTATTACGTACATCCGGTATTTGCGTAATACGACATTGTTTTTTTTCTCCCTCTTTACGGAAGTGACGCCCACCGACGTCGACATTCACGGACTCTAGTATAGTTTACCCATAAACTTATCGGCGAAACAATACGACTCTTTGCGTGTTATCTGATCTTGCATTGAAATGAAAATAATATTTATCGTCATCAGAATATTTTCAACGTATCATTCGAGGTTCTCGAAGCATGCCAAGACACGTGAAAATTTACATATGTTAATTTCTACACGTAAACATGGATATGATTAATATTATTTTTGTCAAAATACCCCGAGAAATCTCGTAAGACGTTCCTATAACGAAGATCACGTGTTATTTTGTTAAAGAAACTGAGAATCTCTGCTCCTTCATAGTAGAGGAGTCACTGAGGTCAGCATAAACTGGTATGCACCAGTTAGACGTATTTCGAATTCGATATCACTACTGTATGAAATTCGACTAATAAAACATACTGTTTTCAAAAGTTCCTCTTGAAATCTCGTGATTTCCTTTTACAATTACTAATAATTAGTTTATTGCTCGAGAAAGCAATCCAGAGTCGAACTAGCGATTAAAATTTATGTTCTTTGCACGGATACGGATGATGTTTGTTGAAACTGTTTTTTTTTTTTCTTCTACTTATTCTCATGCAATTTACAATCGCTCGTTTGATGTACATTTCCCGTGGATCTTTCTATATTGAATTGTTAAATGCTTAACGGTAACAATTTTCATGTATTTTATATAGGACTTAAATATACTATGAATATCAATATAACGGAGCTCTTTGTGCTCTCATCGATTCTGGTCCCTTTTACACGCTCATTGAACGTTCCAAACGGCAGCAACGGGCGATGCTAATTCTAGAGGTGTGTCGACAATTTCGAACTCCTATTGGCTACTGCTTGCCAGATTCCGTTCGCTCGATTTACTTTGACCACGAACAACTTTGAACGTACTGTGATGATGGTGGACGTAGATGGCAGAGTCACACGCAGTATATGTATACTATGTATACGCCGCTTGAAGATAAAATTTCATAAAAAGGACTATTGTCACATAAGAAAAAAATGAGAAAGACGTTTAAAAAGTCTTAAGACAGTGACTGCTCGTTTGAAGAAATAATGAATTTAGGAATAAATCAAATATATGAAAACCTACAACGGAATATCGAAGGTCAATGAATTATTAATGTTTCAAGTTTTAATTTTGAACTTTGCAAGATCCGTGTTCCAGCTGATGGCGAAGATAATAATTTATTCGTCCTTGTACCAAAATCCACTCGCTGCTATAATTTTAGAAAAATTTTACTAAAGCTACGCGTAAGAATTCGTTAAGTCGAATAAACACTTGTAATTTTTTTCATAAAACTTTAATCTTAAGATGCTATTTGAATTTTGAAGCCAGCAGCCATCGTTTCTAGAAATAAAACAGCTGGTGTTATATCCATGTGATTTATTCATATAGACACGGAGGAGTGTCCACGGTCTGATCACTGATTGGTCGACCTTCTACTATATTCACCATGTTAACTTTTACCGCGCTTTTGCTTCAGCTGGCAGCAAATACGTCACGGATCACAGTACAGTATTTGCCGAACAAATGAGAAATCGGGCTTGACCGTAATCTAGAATCACGTTAGCTTAATAATTGAATACCATAATACATTATGTATAGTTCTATAAAGACGTATATGGGATGCAGTATAGTGTAGATGCACGATCTCCATGAATTATTTATAAACTTCCAAGCAAATAATTCTTTGGTAAGCTATACGTATTATCCTTCGTATGCATACGGTATACCCTGATACCCTGATCACAATAATACTGAGGATTCATCTAATAAGAATTTCATTACCTAAAGAAAGAAGAAGCTGTTATTTTTCTAGACGCTTATAAATTTTTCGTTTTCAATAGACTAAATAACGCTGGGCTTACCCGCGACGCATTAAACGATGCATAGTCTTCCTAGTAGCACGTGTACGTTGACAGTCTCTTATAAAGGATCTTTGCACAGCCAACGACCTCATCACAGTGTTGCATACGCGTTTGATATTACAATTGACAGCATAATGGCAGTATGAAAATATTGCACGTAGAAAGAATGCGTGAACCGTCAAAAAAGAACGCGACAAGAAGTCATTGGATGTGTTTTGAAAGAAAGAATATTTTGGAAATTTTTAAAGACAGAGTTATGAAAATTTACGGTTTTCTTCAGTAACACGTGTTGCATTCCCTGTCGAATCTCCTGAGCAACATCATACTCCTTAGTCATATGTCACTGAAGTCACAAAATCTTGTGGGCAGTAAAGGAGAGTGCTCGATTTGGATGGCACCTTTTTTGTCGGTAATAATATAGTTTTTAATGCTTTTACGACTAATTTGCTTCTATAGCATCAGACGAATGCACAGTCACCGATCGAGTATATGGCGCCAACATTAAACGTCTCGCGTTCAGCGTGTTTTCAGTGAGAATTTTTAGATTCGGCCTGATGCACACGCGGTGCGCGACGACTCTCACGTTCCAAGTGGCTACGACCGGTTTGATTTTCTCGCGTGTCCCCCGTATGATGTGATGCCAACAACTGCGACTGGATTTAACCGGATTTCTTACTCGGCATAGACCTCCCGTTATACAAGGTGTTTCATTCTGGCCCATTCGCAATTCTACGTCTCTGTCGTTTTCATTGAATGCTCGGTCGGTATTTGTATTGTTTTACCGACCTACGGTCTTGTGTACTCATTTCCTTCAATATCGTCCGAACTACAATCACACGCGACAAGAATACCGACCTCATTTTTTAAATGAATTTTTATCATATATTCTAGATTTACTTTCTATTATGCTGATTATTGTGTATAGCTTTGTGCTACTGTACTCAATGAACTTATTTGATAAGAAATTTTTGGAAAATTTGATGGAATTTGTGGGAAACTCTTTTGTGAGAATATTCACTTAGATCTCAACGTTATACAGCGTAGGAGTTGAAATTTGTGTTTGCAAGTGTTAGACGAAGATTCAAGACTTTATAATAAATTGTTCTTATTAAGAATATTAATAGATCTTATATTACAATTAATTGGGAATCGTTGAAAGCATCTATGAGGTGTCAGAGTACCCAACATTTTTTTTTCTATGGGATGGTCGTGATTGAAAGCTTTTTTAAGTCTATAGTCTTTTGTGCAACTCTAATTGCGTTATATACCATACTAATTTCGCGAGTATGGACACAGTGATAAAGATAGACATTGATGCACGTAATAGATATTTTGATAAAAACAACGTGACTAGATGTGAATTTTTATCATTTTAGAATATTTACTAATTGTTTATGTCTTCCCCATTCTTAATTAAAAATCTTTGTCTCATTTACCTCATACTATACGATGCAACAGCCGTTGCCAAATCGGATGCTGCCAGTGCGCACAAGGAACCATCAAAATCCGCTGCCAGGTGTTCTGCGAAATCTTCGACTTGTGGTGACCATCCTTGACCGGAACCATTGCTGCCGACTGATCCTGAATAAAGGATATTCATTAATTAGCAGTAATCTTTGACTTTTGCCTATTTTCGTATATTAATTCTTAACATTGCCAAGCAATGATCTTGATTTAAATTTTTAGTAAGGTTTAGCATGAAACGTCCTTGGCACTTCGCAATATTAAAAACACCAGCTAGTTCAACGTTTATGCATACGTCGTAAGGTCTGCCACCGTTATATTAAAGTATATCTTAAATAATTCTTAATCAAGTATTTATCCTGTCAAGAAACAAAAGAAAAATTCAATTCTAAATGACTTATTAGTCCAGAGGCACTATGAAATATTGATATCCTATTACACAAACTATCAAGTATTTTAAGTAAGCTCCGATAAAAAGTTCCATTAATATAGGCTTAACTAGTAAGTTTACAAAGTACTGTATTATTATTGGTTTCATATTATTAACGATTAAAAACAAGAATCTACAGTTATAGACATCCAAAGAGTATTCACTGTACTATCGATATTATGTTTGGCTTTTGCTCATTCGTTATCACATATTTTTCAGATTTATGAAACGATGACGTAGAAACGTATAAAAGAACAATTGTGGCTTCCTAGGTAGCCAAAGAGCTTCGTTGACTTTGTATAAGATCACTATTATCATTCTTGGTACCTTGGGTATTAGAAAATGAAGTTTGGTACTGCTGCATGATTTCAAATCTCGTCTTGCTAGTTTGCGACGTGACAGCAGTCTGTCGCGTTTTTGAAGTTAATGGACAATGTCGAACCTGCCTCAAGGTAGCCCTTGGCTTCTCACAAGCGGACCACTTCATTTCAGTATTCAAGAAGGGACCAAATCCACCCCGAAGAAGCACAACCCACCATCAGAAAAAGACACTTTCGTACGCGATTCGTTGGCATCTCTGCTTGCTCAGGCGTTAATCTTCGATAGTGCTGTTCACTCTGGAGTTATCATCGAGAATGCCCACGTGGTTACTAAAGGCGTCGGATAGCCACGACTGCCACTAATGATCTTTTCACAGTGTTGATACTCTTTGGATGATAGCTAAACGACTGTTAATACCATGGGAGGTCTAGTAGTGAATACCAAAAAATGTTTGGATCTGATAGATGGTGTGAAATACTATTTGAAACGTGACTGAAAAAGTGAGTTAACCAAAGATTCGAAATTTAGAGTGTCTACGACCGTGCACGGGTCGACTGGCCACGACCTTAGGTTGATGATGCGTCTCTAGTAACTCCTACCCGATAATGACACTCGACTTTGTTCCTATTGCTGTCGTATTAAAAGTTTGCGATAGTCCAGTATAGCCTCTGTTTGATTTTGATGCAAGGATTGTGTTTCTTAAAGATTTCTTGCTCTTGCAATTTGGAATATCTTAGAGGATCATAACCTGAAACTCAAGGATAATATATTCACCGAGAATGAGACAGTGGATTACAAATGGACCCGTCGCGCTTAATCACAGAGGAAGTAATTTTCATTACTCAAAACGAGACCGGGACCATACTCATACTCGGCAATGTATCTACGTGTACCGCTTGAAGTTTGCACACGAACGACGATGCTTATTTGCGCGTGCGTAAGCAGTCTACAAGACGAGACACGTGGTTGTCTTCAGGAAATGAATAATTGTCCCATTAGAGACTCTAGAGAAGTATCCATCCACTTTATACAGAGCGGTTACTTAGCTGGCGAATAATTTCTTGAGACTTTGAAGGAACCTAAGGATTTATTTGTACAAGAATTCATAACCTCTACCAACCGTCTCTTTTGATGTGCTTTCTGTCATGATCTGATATCGGTTGCAAGGACTCCGCTGAACGGCGCTTCAATATGCTTTGTGATTGGTGAAGCGACTGTCCTTGCCCTGGTGAAGTTGGTAACTGCTGTGGCGAACCGCTACCAGAGCGTATTTGTCCACCTGATCCTGGAGAATGATTGAGTGATGAGCTGTTCTTGTCCTGCCACAGAACTGTCTGAGGACTGTGGTAGTCGATTGAGGCCTGAGAAAGTAATTCATGTTATTCACAATAATGATCTCTATTAGGGAGATTGAAAAAAAAATCAATGAGACTTACTTGTTGTAACACTGTCGCGCATCCATTCTGTTGATTGGGTGACAATTGCTGGTACGACGGAGATGGAGAATTCTCCAGCCACATGGTTCCGTTTAGAGTTTCTGACCCGGAATCCATTATGAGTTGCAGCTCCATTCGTGGAGCTGATTTTGAAGCTGTTTCTCAATTGAAATTTCGTTGTCGGAAGTTAAGCAGACGTTAATCTGTTTCAGGGTTTCACTCTAGGGAGTTTCTACTGAATTTTGAAATTTAGTATTATTCGAAATCCACTTGCTTTCAATAAAAATCTATCTAGTGATTAGAGGTTGTTGACTCTCTAGGAATTTCATTAACCTTTTTTTTTTAGTGTTCCAAGGCAATGTTCTAAAAGCAACTTTGTTAGTTAGAGTCCCAATGAAGTCTGTACTCAAGTTTGCCTCAATCCAAGGACAATTTTTTGGGGGGATTCTGGCCACTCTAATGGCACATCCCAGTTTGAAAATCTACCCGTTATGGATCTACGCATCCCCTGGGGCGGCTCTTGCACGCTGGACGGGGTCGATATTGTCGTATTCGCCTCTTTTTAGAACATCACAAAAAAACTGTTGTACAGCTTTTTGATACCAGTAGTTTCACGTTGTCGATGAGTTTCCAAGAGGGCGCAGCCTCGTGACTTTAAGGAGAGAAAACGTGAAAAAACGATGAACGCATCTTCGAACACCATCGCAACACCCTGGCTGCAATGCATCTTGCTTAGAAACGAGAAATGACTTGGAACCGGATGTGACTGAATGACTGTTCTCGGGATTTCACTAAATCCTCTTTGGTATCCTCCTTGATGGATCGATTTTGAAATTGTATTTTTTTAAATACAAACGTCGAAACACTTCTGGTGAAAATTTGTATTTCAAACAGTATCTTCTCTCTTCACAACTCCTCCTTTTGATTCTTTGTTTCTTGATAAAGATATCCGGATTTCTTAGAAAAATTATACGATATATCCTGAAGGTGATCTGCAGTATCAAATCACGGGTTCAAAGGGACGATTGCGATTATTCCTCGTTACAGAATATTGCTAACGACTATGGCTCACACACAAGTTAGTGTCTTGGTCATTGGAGGCCTTCGCCTGGTACCTTGTCACCACATTTTCAAAATCCTTCGCTCCATGGCGTATAAAAAAAGTTTTTAAAACTCACTGGGAAAAAGGCGTTCCGTCAATTGAATTAACCAGATGCCAATTATGTTGGGCCACACGATCAAGAAGTTCTAACGATCGTCAATAAAAAGTAGTTTTCGCCTTGGGAGACACCAATAAAGTGTTATCTAATTTCAGGGTACAACTTGAGAAATTTAATCCAATTTTTCACTCTTCACTTCCTTGAGGATGAACTCGAAGTTGAATTCGATAGTGAGTTTTAACGTCTTTCGAAAAGCAACAGCCAATAGATCTGTGCCATTCAGTTGATTGATGAATTAGGTCTCAATAGTATCTTGATCTTGCCAAGAGTATAGTAAAGATTCTGCCAAAATATTATTCCAAGTCAGTAGTCAGTTTGAAGATCTCAAAAAAAGAGAAAAATCCTCGAAAAGTGAACGTCTTCTTTGTTAATCTTCGTATGCTGTGATGCTTCTTGATCCTCAAAATTGTGATTCTTCAATCCACGTAATTCCACCAAGAAGACTTTCTTCAGTGACCGAGATGTATCCAATATGATAAAATCAATTTTGTTCTTCCTGAAAAAGGCACGCAACCAGTTGATAATCCAATCTTCCTCAAAAAGAATCCAAACTGAGGACACGATGCTAACGATGTGCGAGTGTTTGAATGAATGCGCGAGTCAGCCAGGGGGTTCCGGCGATGATCCGTATCTGAGGACCAATCGTGTCTCTTTGGATTAACCGCTGGACCAATGAGAGTCTTCTTTATTGTAGGCCATCTGAATCGCAATTGGGACCACTCAAGCGATGATGAGGAAAATGCTGCACCTTTAAGGGCAATACTATTAAAAAGTCAGAAATTCTTGAGAAAAGAAAAATTAACAAAGTCTTCCTGTCTGTGTGTGGATAGATTAATTAATTTTGCGCTTCATCTCATGAGATAGCGTTCATCCTATTTAGTACCCAGTTAATTAAGTAGATGAGTGCGTAGATATGCAGTAACTTCAAAGATTGTTCTCCAGCCTCCTTTATTATTTCTTCACGGGATATCTGGTCCAACGAGACCACAGTAGACAGGATGAAGCTGATTATCCAATTACCGAAGTTCAATTGACAACGATCCGTGTGAATGGCAAATGATTTGCTTGAAGGTCGCTAGATAACTAACTAATATTATTAGAGTTCTGGTACAACTACTAGGTGAGACATGTCTGAGTAAAAATCTTGCGTATTTGCCTTAGGATATTAAGAGTAGGTATATTATCTTGACGACAGCAAAACTTGACTTCTGCGACGTATCAAATTCCCAGGAGTCGATGGAGTCCGTGAGACAGGATAACTGATTTGTTTTTTTCTTAAGCGATGAGTATTCGGCCCCTCAATCCTTGATTGTGCGACAGTACTCAAAGATGACGGTTGTCTCCTCGTGTAACTGAAACAAAAAAGAAAATAATAAAAATGACTTCTCCCAAGATTCATACTTTGAGTCTTTCTTGATGACAAATATCTCCTCAGGGTATGCTGTCTGATATTTCGCTGATTGGTGTTAATCGGTAGGTCAGCTTGGCACGCCACTCGCTTGGGCAAAATGAATGAACCATTCGAAGAACTTGTGAATTCACCCTCTGTACATTTCCTTCCAGACTGCTCAAGATGAAGTTTCTTTCCTGCTATGTTTCATAGAATTTCAACGACTATTTACAACGCTTCTATGTAAAATGAATTGCGAGAAATGACACTTTTGATTCAATATCAATCAAGCGTCAAATAACAATTTTATTATACGGGCGTTAATTATGTTATGTTCCATGCACGCAGTCTGCAGAGTAAAGGCTTACACACACAACCTCTTTTTTAAGTACAACGTAAATCATAGGCTAATAAACGCACGTGCTGACTGCACGCAATTTATAGATGTCTTATGTGAAATGGTCTTAAGAATTCAGTTTCATAGTTACCAAAATTGTCGACAGGTTTCGCCAGCGTTACTTATATATATTTTTTCAATTGTGAACGGTTTTTGATATCAAGCCACGTATGTACCGTGTATTATTTTTATTTCATCGTTTCTATTTCTTGCGCAAAACAATATAATGTATGTTCCGAAATTTATTGTCAGTTTACCTGCATGCAACGAGATAAAACCATGCTCGTAATGTTGGCACTGAATTTCAGAACCCACCCGTAGTGAAAGACTACCGATGTTAATTGTTTTCAAAAAGAACATCAAGCTATTCACAAATAAACTCAGGTTTTGCTTTGCGTCTACAACTTGTTTCTCATGGTCGAAGTCGACTTATGGCGTTGTTTTTGGTGTGATGTAACAATGACTTGCTAAGGATTTACGAATATTCTACAACTCATCAAGATGTAATAAAATGACCTAATCGCCTATATACGAAGGAAGCGTAGTCACGCAGCTACCTAATAGATTGCCGTAACAACGCACAGTGCCTGGTTTCCGGTTTGAAATGTCCGGAAATGAAACTAGTTGCCTGGGTTATTTGCCTTTATCTATGTGATTTGGGATAGTCAAGGATCTTGGTTTTGTTCGTGTCGGTTTTTGTTACAGCGCTTTTTTCATTTATCGTTTAAACGACGTCGCACAATGTTGGTATAAATACCCGAACGAATTTAATTAAATATTCTATTGAATCGAATCACAATCTTTTTCAGTACTTAATCAAAACTTTTCAACCGGTAAAATTTTTAAGTTTTTTATTAGTTGTATGGAAAATTTCGTCAAGAGCATATTAGATTGATTACAAAAGAAATTTGTACGTTGTTCAAATATATGCATATAATATTTAAGTAACTTTATAAGAATTAACTAGAGTCTCTAGATATTATTTCACTCCATGCTTCTTGACACTCCTGTTCCAGGACATCTTTCCAAACTTGATAACGATGATTGAGTCCAGGTACTGAATGCAAGATAGCTTTGCTTCCCAAAACACCAGAACCTTCAGATGCTATGCCATAAAATATTCTAATAACTCTGGAGTGGAGAAGAGCCATTGCACACATTGCACATGGTTCTCTGAGCAAGAATACCCAGTATCCGGTGCAGAGATAAGGACCAATTTTTTCTTGAGACTCCATATTGCATGAACCATCATCTTTTCTCTTATTCTTCGCCTTAATCCATAGTGGCTTCGATTCGGGAAGTGGAATACTCCTCAATGATTCTGGAAAGCAAACTGGTGTGTCTTCGTAAAACTTTCTTTTAGCTTTTATTCCATCTTTTATTTCAGTGCCGATACTGGTAGACTTAAGCTTAGGAGAGATCTCATTTTTATTTTCAGTACTCTTGCAGAAATTCCAAGTTCCACCACCCTGAAGTCTAGCCACAAGGTCTATGGCAATCATGGCTGCATGCCACATTGGATGAAGATCCACTTTAGATGCTGCGATGGCTAAGACTCTACCATCTTCTGGATCAACTACCAAACTACTACCATGACAATTATCATTGCCAATAGCTTCCAGCTTCGCAGCCTCAATAACAATTTTCATATAAGCTTCGATAGAGTCCAATTGGTCCTGGTCAAATATAGATCCGGAAATGACAGCTTCTATACCAGGATCAGGATGAAAATTGACAGGCCATGTTTTAGCTGAGTTAGCAGCTTGACTTTTGGTCCTTGGTGGATTCTTAGGTATCTTTATCACTTGAAACTCATCCTCTAACAACGATAAATCAAATTCCTTATTTCTTAATAGCTCTTTAAGTTCAACCTGGGACAAAATATTATCCTTGTCAGACTTATCTGTATCTTCAAGTTCTTTAGAATATGCTAAAGTGGTCAGCAGAAGTCTTGTATTCGAACATCTTTTTAAATGTGGCAGTCCAGGCAAGATATTTGAAATGGATTGTATCGCTTTAGAGATATTTCTCTTCTCTTTAAGAATCCCAACATAGGCATCCTGAAGTGGTGAATCCTGTGTGAATTCTGATGACAGCACGGGTGTGGCTCTCCAGGTTCTGTTCCTAGCATTCTCTTCTTCCCTTCCTTTGGTCCTTTTTGTCAGTGGTCCAGCAAATCCTTCAAGAGCATCCATGAGCAGTCCTGAAAAGAGGCTGCCTTCATTCTCGTAGGTCTTTGAGCAGATGGAGGCATTAGAAATAAGTCAAAGTAAAATTTTTTACGTTTCTTCAATCATTGCTGTTACACAAGGGAAGCTATAATTATATCGGACGGTTGTCAAATGATTACTTTGTGCAAGTGTATAACTTCACAATACAACCTGAATTAGTCATGCAGTTTTGTCAAATTTAAAAAAGTGTGACTCAAGCAAGCAATCCCAGTAAAATACGATCAGATAAAATTTAATCTTGAGATTTAGTGAGACAGAAAGAGACATATTTATGGGCACTTATGTACGTTAAGAAACAAGAATACTGATGACCCGAATAAAATGACTGGTAAGCAATCAAGACATTCGGTAGAGTCAAATATACGGCAAGTATTCTGTATTGAATCGTGTATTATATTCAAGTGTTTCAAAATTTTCATTACAAAATCGACCAAATGACTTAATGTGTTTAAAAAATTCGAAAAGTATGCTACAATTACATGAATACAATTTATTATGAATTGCATTTTTATAAAATATAAAGAATCAAACATTGCCTAATCATGCTTGGTAGCTTGAGATTTGTTAAATATGACACATACGTCCGAATTAAAAGACCCTCTATAGGTCATTCGCATCGTGTTACCCTGCCGTGAGTGGCCATCCTGTTTAGACAAGGCCGAGGGTCGGGAAGCCCTGCGAAAATAATAGTCTCCATTTCCTGGCGCAATACCCGGATGGTTACAAACTAAAAACCAAACCAAATAAAGTAATAAAAAGTCCTCCCCAATCAAATAATCCAATTAAATTGCGAGAAACATTGTCGTATTGAAAACTTAAAGTGATGCAGAAAAATGTTTAATCTCACGAATTTCTAAGGATAAGCAAAAATAGCACGTAAGAATACTAAGAGTAACCCGAGTCGAGTTCTTGGTGCGTTTCACGGCTGTAAGGCAATTTTAAATTGCTGTCAACTTGGGCCACGGCCGTATCGTTTGACAGAGTTAGTCGCAATTGTTCGACTTTATACGGGGGAATCAGCATGAATTGTTCGTAGTTGCGTGTATGTCCGCGTCTTGGTCGCTAGTAGCTTTCTGAAAGACGCTGTCAAGACACTTTTTTTTTTCGCAATGACGACAAGATGCTCTACGAGTGTCTCGAAGCGTTTATTGCTTTAGTATTACAACAGTATTATCAAACATCTCAGATAAAACAATTCAAGTCTATATGTATAATTTAAAATAGTTTAAAAACATTTTACACTCTCGGAGATGCTTTTGGCAGAAGAAAAGTATATAAAATGATTCTTGGACAGTATGTACCACTACGTTAGATACATTTGTGGCGTATTATGTGTATACGCATAACTCATATGACCATAGAAGTATCACGCGTGTATCACATAACTATTCGCAGAGTGTAGAGAATCTAAGAATTTAGTATGCGCGAAGTGGCTCCTATCGCTAAAGCACCTTTTACTTTGGTGCCTTTCACGAGTATCGGTGAATGATAATTGTTGTCGTTTGAGCAAATCTGTTCGACGCATGTAAAGTCTGTAGGAATGTAGTAAAGATAAGGAGCACGGCTACGACGTTAAAAGATCTGAATCCAGTACTCTGATAAAGAAGAAAAAGGAGAACTTTATTTAAGCATTTTCGTAGTACGTTTAAATGGTACCTGTGTATCAGTAGACATTCAAGAAATGTGCCAGGGTCTCTTGAGAACTGAATCTACGAGATGCGAGTAGAGGAAAATGCATTAGTCCGATTACTATCGTTTACTCTCATTGTTATCTACTCAGAGTGAATTTAAAACAGTTGCTTCACTTCTCGGTGAACTTATACTGTAGATATTACACGTACGAATTTACAAGTATACAATCATATTAGTAGGATGGTGGATTACCAATATTATTAGTGAAGATAAAATGCTTCACATATGTTTAACACTGAAAATAGTCCAAAACGTCAATATCACTTATCAAGGAGAATCTTTGCCAAAATAGATATTGCACAGACGATTCTTCCTGTGCGTCACGCGTTTCTACCTCAGTCTGTTAATAATTGAGATATAGACGTAAGAAACAATTATGGCAAAACATGTCAGAGATGAAAATGAAAGATTGTGGTAAGCTGTAGAATGAAAATGCGCGCTATGTTACGTCGCAAACATGGCCGTCAGAGCCACCTCTGAGAAGCGTGTTCCTTATATAACGCAAAACGGACAACAAACGATTAATGGACGTAAACTCAAGAAGGCATAAATAGAAACTCGAGACATAACCAACTAGATTAAAAGATCGCATAAAGCTGCTATCTATAATATTCAATCATTTTATACAGCATGATTTGAATTATATGTATGTAAACTGACCCGCAACATGTCTGGCTGGCCTTGAAACGGCACGGCATGTGTGTCCGCACCTCTCGGACTTGTCAAACTTGTCATGGCAGTCAACGAAAAGTCCATCAAAGATAACTCTGACACTATGTATAATCGTAGACGTTGTATGAATGATTATAAAGTTGCGCAGTCTTTTGGTTATCTATTAAGCTTCATGTTTCTTCGACACTTACCTGTTCTTGCTGTGAATCTTCCAAGAATTTTATCAGCACACAAACTTCAGCACGTTAAAATCACTCCAGTGTTTTTGGATTCCCTGAATCTGCCACTGTCACGGACTATTCACAGCTTCCACTTTATTCCTTCCAATATACTTATGTACACGTGATGATACACCAGGTTGTCTACGTATGTTTTAACAGAATTTTACTTGACTGATCACCGTGCCTTCTTCTGGACGTTGGCGGAATTTAATGTTACTCTTAAAAGCTATCCAAGCACCACCTAGTGTACCGCACGGAAGGCGAGGAACTACTGCGAATCACGCTACTGTTGGAGCTTGAGAACGGCAACTAGTGACATCGTACAGATTAAATGAGTTCGCTTGGTATTAAAGGTTTACGACGATATAATCGTTGACGGAAGATAAGGAGAGCTGGGAACTAAAAACGGCGTATTGTTGAAGCTTAGAGATGGTAGATGGCGCGGTATGCATCATTTTCATTAAATTCGCGGGAGTCGCGGGACCTGTAGATTTTGCTTAAGGTATTACTAAGGTAAACTCAAAACCGCGTAATCGAGCTGAAATTTGTTTTGCGTCTAATTTGTATAGCAATACATCTCTCTACAAATGGTTAACACGATTCACTCATCAGTTTCCGAGTACTTCCGAGTCAAAGTCAGGACTCGTAACACGTATTCCCTATACCTGGCCAATAAAACGCGCTTGGTTTTTTTGACTCGTCCGCGTAATTCCGATGAAAACCTAGTACGTGGAAAAGGAAAAAATGAGGAATTTTTTAGATTTTTAGTCAGAACTTTTTACTCATAGGATTTATTGATAGACATGAAAGAAATTCGATATTTATTACGAAATCTCTCGTACGACGGCTAGACAAAAGAGCGTTACGGCAAAATTGTGTTTAAGACTGTATTCGGTGTATTACGTATACACTACTACATCCAATGTACATTAGCGTGCGCCTATCGATGCAGGGATGAGCGTATGTGAGTGAACTGACCAGTTCAAAAGTTGACGCTGGATTGTTCAAATCTTACATTGAAAATTTTGTTATTTTTCGGTCCGTAGTAATACCTTAAGTGAACATATTTGTGTTGAGATTATTTGTCACATCAATCACGATCAGTTAGAGCTGATACCTTATTAGTTGGTTGTAACAGAATTTTTAATAGCATAATGCATCTATCTAACAGAATTGTGTCAATGATTTTCGATTATGCCGATTATAGTTTTGGGATACATACGTTCAAGAAACCCGTCATTAGAGTCGATTCCATCATCGTTATCATTAATTTTGTTGTTGCTTGATATATAAATTACCTTTCTTTGTTGATGTATTATTGCATTGCATTCAATTTATTAAAAAATAGTTTATCCAAAATGAGACTTACTTAGTAGTTCATATCCCCCAAAAAACACTTACGTGTAAAAAACAACGCCAAGTACAGGATTGCTGTGAATTCCTCTAACAAAAAGTATTGATATCATATTATTGAGGCCAAGTACATAAGTCACTACATGTTTTCCTATTATATGATCTAGCACTGGCCCATCATTTTAATTATATTTTCAATATTTCCTATAACGTTTTCGCTACTCTTCTATGTTACTACTGCTTCCCGTGTTTAATTACGATTTAATGGTGATTTAATAATTAATAAAACTGTAGGTGATTCCTTATCGAGTACTACTTGGCATGTCCGTGCCAGGAATTCCAAAGTACTTACTTTGCACGTGCTCATAGTATTCTAATACTGTATGTTTGTTATTAGGCTTTTACCGTGATTATTTTTGACAAGTTATTGTTAATATGCTTTCTATAGAAAACTGGTACTGGTTTTGTACCAAATTTATATCAAGAAATGCACGGACCCGCCAAGTAGTACTCGATAAGGAATCACCTAAAGTTTTATTAATTATTAAATCACCATTAAATCATAATTAAATACGGGAAGCAGCACACTGAAATCTGTATTGTTAAACAAAGTACTAAGTACTTATGTACTTGGCCTCAATAATATGATATCAATAGTTTTTGTTAGAGGAATTCACAGCAATCCTGTACTTGGCGTTGTTTTTTACACGTAAGTGTTTTTTGGGGGATTTCACAAGTTTTTGTTGTTCAATAGGATATATGAAAAAAGTTTTAAACACTGAAATCTGTATTGTTAAACAAATATAAAATATAAATGCATTGCAATGTCACTAATCAGATAAATATATTGCGTTGTCGAAAATGTTAAATGTCATATATATGTAATTTATAAATTGATTTTTCTTAGAAACACAAAAATATATATAAATTTAAGAGGAAAGTATATTCTTAAATGTAGAATGAAATTCATTTAGAAAGAAGTTAAGTCATTTAGGAATTTCGTAAGCTTTCTACCGTGATAATCATAGACGTGACACGAAAGATTTCCATGAGGAAAGAAGATTTCCTCCTCATTTGCACGCTTACCATCAGTTACATATTTAGTTCAAATCAAAAATCGAAGTAAATTTTTCTTTAAAATATATATTTTTCATTTATTTGTTTTTCTGAAATCTGTGGTTGAATGTTTAATAGATAAAAATAAAATTAATGTTTGAATTTTGTGTGAAAATTTTTATCAAAACTTACATGTGATTAGTTTCTAATAATTAATAATATTTACTTGAATGAAGGGTAAATGTACTTGAACTAAAAGAGTATTATAGATTTAATATTTGTAAAATCCTCATTCGATATCTTAAGGCAATGACTCAACTGATCTAGTGCGATACAATATATTGTAGTATTAATTGTTCTAAATTTTTGTTTTCTATTTCAACAAGAACATAATAAATATTAGAATATATCTTTTATAACAAATATGATACTGTTACTATCTGCTAAATTCAAGTCTCTTTGTTGCACTTAATGGTATTGGCAATTGTGTATAGTGTTTTAATTATAAATTTCAGTTGTAAAGTATCATACATATTACCAGATGAGTGACATATTAAATATCTTTGCCTAGTTATTGTTTGTAGAAATATTATACGAATAACAGTTGAGTCAGAGTCTGATGTGCTGTTTTAAAATTTCAATATAAATATATATTGACTTGCTATGCAGTCTCAATGGATTAAAACATACACTGATATATTATGCATAACTTATGGATTTACTTACTTTAACTGGTCATACTCTGTCTATTTTTTGCAAGTGGTTTGATTAAGTGTTAAATTCCTCATAATCTTTATATCCTTATAAATATATATATTTAGGATGTTATGCATACTGGAATCCACACCATGTACTGACGGAGGTACTCTCTTACTCAAGTATATGAGAATGAGGTCTGGCATAAATGAAAAGTACCTATACTATAGAGGTTTGACATTAATGGGCACCTGAATATAAAAGGATTTTGAGATGTTTATTAATCAACCATATTTGAAAAAACCCTATGAAGATTTCCATTGAGGAGGCTACTGTAACCCAAGTACAGAAGCGTTGTAAATTCCTCTAAGAAAAAGTATTGAAATCATATAATTAATGCCAAGTACAAAAGTCACTACATATCTTTTTATTATACATATGATCTAGCACTAACCCATCATTTTAATTATATTTTCAAAATTTCCTATAACGCCTTCGCTACTTTTTTATATTACTACTGCTTCTCACAATTTTATGGTCATTTAATAATTAATAAAACTAGTTGATTCCTTATCGGGTACTACTTGGCGGGTTCGTGCATTACTTGATAAAAATCTGCGTTCATTATGCCCGTCTTCAAACTCAAAACCAACGTCAACTTTCTATATACAGCATATTAGTAATAATCGGTCAAAAATAACCAGGGTAAAAGCTTAATAACAAACATATAGTTTTGGAATACTATTGGTATGTTCAAAATAAGTACTTTGGAATTCCTGGTACTCGATAAGAAATCAGTTCTCTCTATCACCATGATGATTATCATCATTGAATTATTAATATTCCTACCATACGTTTAATGAAACCTTAGTAACCATATTACACCCTGAACGGACCATTAAGAGAAATTTGAGTAAGTTTCGAAAAATTCCGTATACGCGAGAGCAGCGTCGTACAAAAATTCAAATTGTTCCTGAAAGAAAGTTGTGGGATGAATAATTTTTTTTTTACTTTGCCTTTATTTTATTGGATGAAAAAAAAACTCACGATCGTCTGGACGAATTCACGTTTCGATCTTCTTACGGCTCGAATCGCTAAACACACGTCGCATTCTCTTTCCACAGCCATTCTTTCCATCAAGAAACTTAGAGCCAGGTATAAACCGCATCCGGTTACTCCGTCGCTAAAATGAAATTGTATCATTATTATAATATTTGGAACGGTCTGAGTATTTCTAATTGTTATTAATTTTCAGTCGTACTGGCACAATGATACCACGGGACCATCGCCCCTTGGTATTCTTTCGGCAGCCTGCCACAAGCTGATCAAGGCTACCGGATGTGGTAGTTCTTTGTGTCTTCCAGGTTTCCAACTTTTACAGGATAATATTGTAACTTGTTGTTTCATTTCCTTGTCCTATAAAATAATCATAATTAATTTTTTAATCATAACAAAAGTCAACCTTACTCAACCCACCTTGGACTTGTCAGCCAGTAATAATTTACGTGTAGTGAAATATTCAGAATCAATTATATCATGCGTGTTGACTTCTAGGTACGGTGTTGGGTGGAACTTTCCATCTTCCGGTACGATCTCGCAACATGTCTGCAGAGCAAAAGTAAAGCAGCAAGTTGGATATTATTTGACAATTAATTCTGGGAGTGGCGCGTGAGTTGCCTGAGACAAGACACCCCAACTCGATGTTTTCAAATGGAGATCAAAATCGCGTGAGCATTCCTGGGTTAAAAACTTTTTAATTGATTTTTCATACTCACAGGATCCTCTGGATCGACCGGCTGCAACTGGACGATCAATTCAATTTTAAATTCAGCTATCATTCTCCAAAAATCAGATACTGTCGAGGGTAGAGGTAACTGTGCTGCTATGTACTGATTTTGCACTTTTACGCCATCGACGTAAATAGCTGCTATGTAATCACTGTTTTCGTCCGACGGTGGATATCGTGTCAAGTATATTCTCTTGTAATTATCTGTTAAAAAATTTAACTTATTCGCGAAACTCGTGTAAAATTAACAAAATGGAAAGATAAAAACCTGTAGCTTCCTCTGGATATCTGGTTTTGGACCAGTTCTGGAAAGGCAATGCTTTCCTCAGACTGCTCGGCTGCAATGCTTCGTCCTGCCAGGCGATGTCTTCGAGTCTTGCAACAAGTGCGTAAAGTCAAACATAATGGAAGAACAGCTAACGAATGAACTTCATGAATTAAAACAAAAACCTCTGTCGCTGGATCCGCAGGTACTGCTTCATCTCTCTGATTCCCTCAGGCAGACTGTCATTGCATGGTATGTGTGTGGTAAATGCAAGTAAACATTCGGCAATTACCAGATGCGCCATTAAATACTGTTGCTTATTGCCCACCATATTGGCTCTTTGGTTTCTAATCTTTTTTGTCTCGGCCAGAACATCCACGACCTAAAGTAATACCAGATCATTTTCAAAATTTTTAGACATGAAATGCAACTGCCTCCATTGTATATTACCCCTTCGGCTGCTGCTCTGTGCAAACAAATGTGACATAGGATTATGGTTCCCGTTCTGCCGACTCCGGCGCTACAATGCGTCACGATAGGACCAACACCTGGTGATGTTGCTAAAAGTTTTTTCAAAAAAGCTACTATTCCGTGTGTGTAGAGGGGGACACCGTGATCAGGCCACGAAGTGTAATGAAGATGTTCAATCTGAAGGTTAAATATTTTTTTGATACAGGATTTTCATTTTTATACTAACATCTTGATACGTGTTACAGATTTTACCTTGCGCGTTTCCTCCTGGTAGGTGACCTGAAAGGTCCTAAACGTATAGTCAGCAAACACATTATATTTGACATTTGCGACTAGAAAATCACCAAATTGTTTCTTCTTGCCAATATTAGGCCAGTATTGTTCACATTTGGTCTGAAATTGAAAAAATGAAAAATATAAATATACTTTTGGATATTTATTATAGAGATATAACGTAGAGCTACTGGAAAGTACTTTGCCATTTTCCAAGATATTTGCCACCATGCAGATAACAAGAGCCTTCTCTTGCCAAATCATTCGCCAGAAATCAATGATTGTATTTTGCTTGGGACCTTGAGTTGCTATGTACGCACGTTCCTTATTGAAACCCTTGAATATGAATGAAATTCAATATGAAACATTGAAATATAAAGGTCATTTACGAAATATTGTACCTGTATGTAACTCGCATTGATGTAATCAGAATACGGATCATCCGGTAGCTTCTGCAGTATCACACGAGTCTCGTCATCTATTTGCAATTTATTCGGTGAAATAAATAATTAATCTAATTATATTAACGTTCAACGATAACTTAAGTACGTACATGCTAGTAAATTCTTGTATCTATTTTTTGCTTTGTTTTGAGGCTCTTCTCCGTACGTCCATGGTTTGGTTTGGCCTCTTGGAAACATCTGCAGCCAGGAATTGAGATTTTTTTATGAAAAGTGCATTAATTTATAACAGATATCGGAATTGTATCAGGTACCTCGTATTGTTTGTCCAGTAAACCAGTAGCTATAGCCTGCTTGACGTAATCCTCAAAATTTTTTACTTTCACCATAGAACTGTATTCTGACTCGGGCGGCAGGTGACTTCTTCTTGGGTCCATCACCGGTGAATTTCCAAGGGACGATGGTTCCGAATTTTCTGAAGCTAATCGAGGTGACGGCTTTTCAACATTTGCCAGTGTGATGGACTGATTCTCATGATTCACGTCGTTTAGTTTTTCAGTAAGCGGCATGTCGTCCTGTCGTTGAAAGAACGCTTTGGCTTTTCTGAAATAAACAAACTTATAGTAAAATTTGTTATTTTCTTGTCGAAATTATCAGTAATTTCAACTTACTCGCGATAGAGATAAATTATGACGATGAAAATGGCCAACAATGGAATAAGTATTAGCCAGGATTTATTGAACGAACTGGGAACTTCGCCGATACTGATTGGCAATGATTCCATTATAATTGGTTCATTAGCGATCTGCCCGTCGTAGCTCTTAACTATAAGGATGATCTTGTAGTAGGTTTTAGGTTGTAGAGCGCAATTAAACTCGCCGTCATACGTTTTATTGTCGCCGACGATGAACGACTTCATATTACTCTGGAAATTACGTCGGATGAAATTGATAAAGCATTATATACATGACGATTAAAAATATTCATTTTTATTTATTACCGGAAGTACAGCTGCTAGCCAAATCGCTTCGGATGAATCTAACGTTACGTCTCTTTTCAGATGCTCCGGAAGGTGCCGACGATGAACGACTTCACATTACTCTGGAAATTACGTCGGATGAAA